TGTTGTAGTTCATTAATGATTTCTATTTTAGACAATGGAAATGACTAGTTCCTTTCCTATAAATCTCCTTTAACTGTTTTATTATAAAAGTGAATATATTACTACACTATGTAAGCTTCGTATAAAGATTTTGTCAAAACGTGTTACGAAGCCATACAATAATGAAAGCATGAACTAATTAAGGAATTCGCAAATATTTAGTAACAGATAAAAACGGAAGCAAAATTTTTCCTTCTGTAGTGAATGAGAACACAAGTGAACGATCGAATGTATTTGAATACACAAATTACAGAACATCTTAGTAAAATCTGAGAACCATACAGTGAATACTTCATTTGCAATATATCAGTCCATCGTCTCAGACTTCACTGTTCTTTCGTTTACACACCAATCATTCGCTGTTCTCGTTCTCTTTTTTTCGATCTTCTTAATCTTATGCAGCCAGGTATTTCACTTTCGACTGATGATATATGTATTGAAATCAGTAGCACACCAAACTTCTACTGAATTCCACATACTTTTAATTTTATTAATGTAGTGATTAATTCGGTAACACAGAAAAATGTGATACTCTAAATTATGCTTCGTTTACAATAAAAAAATTTATTCATGGAATACAACTACAACGACTTTATCTGAAATATCATATCGATAGGCGTTAAATTTATGATTTTGTAATAAAAACAACATGACCTCTAACAACAACTTGATACGTTCTAGCATGTGCAGTAAGTATAAGTATATGTGAACAAATAAATGTTTACATAAATGTAAAGCAAACACATGTTAAATATGTCTAATCTAATTGAATTTAATCTTTTTTTCTCAAACTATGACAAAACAGCTGTTCAGTATACCCTAAATTTTGATAATTCCCTAGCTGATATCATTCTATAATGAAAAAATACTGATTCTTATTGGTTAACCACTCGCTATCTTTGATACACAACTCCGCTTACAGGCCTCCTACAGTTTCTGTTGGTCCGAAGCTTGAATTTAAGGAGGAGGGTTTAGCTTGAGATGATCAAATTCATCCTGTAATAATGAATTTAGCTAAAAACATTAGGCAAAAAAAGTAGACAAAAATACTATTATTTATACATCATTTTGTTCATTTTACTCCACTCATTAAGTAATTGTCAAATAGAGATATAATATGGCTGATAATTGAATTATTGTGTTGTCTTCATTAGTGTTACCTTTTCAGATGCTGCAACTATATTATATTATTCAAGTACAGATGATAAACCGATCGTTGGAACGCTAGCGAGGACTGGTTACTTAAAAACCTTGATTGATACTCACCTATTAATACCATTATTTATCGTAAGCCTAGTTATCAATCTTTTTTTATAAAGAATTCAGTCGTTACTGTTTTGACTGATGAGGATTTGTTCATAAGAATAGTTCTGTTATCATATATCTTCGAGTTTCGATGTATTAAGAACTTCCAAAGAACCAGACATTTAGTTAATTTGAAAGTATTTCAGTATGTGATTCTAACAACAGGGTTTGAGGAAAAATTATTACTTCAATTAGCATCAGGCACATAGGAAATTCTTTAACTAATCGGTCGGTTGAAAAACAATTAAGAAATCGACCATTGATAGAGAAAACTGGTTAGGACTTTTTAATAAAACTGACGAACGATTAGGTTATACCGACCGTTATACTTCAGTCTAGTTACTAAACATTATACTGTTGTTTATTAAAAGTTATACAGCATTCCATTAGATTCAATCCAATTAATATTTTATATTCCGTAGTTTTAAAATATTTCAAGCACGAATAAGTTAACTAAATAAATACAATGGTTCTGTCTGTTCAACACACCAGTGTTTGTGATAATTAGCATCATACAACTAAACTATCACTATACAGAAATAAAATCGATTTCAATTTCTATGTCCAAAATATATATTGAAGAATTTTCAAGACTTACCAAGTAACTGATAGTTTATATCAGCAAATTATAATTAAGTTTCGGGGCTTTATTTGTTAGCCTTCATCAAATCATTAACAAAAGACATTATTTACAAAATGCGAGATAACCAATTAACTAGAAAGATGGAAATTCAGCGAAATAGGTTTATCCAAATATCGTAGAATAAAACAGTAAATTACAATGATCTATAATCATAATATCATCATTATAGTCTCTAACATTTTTAAACAAGCCTAGAGGCTTAAGAACATATAGAGTTAAATTTTAGTTGTCATCCTAATAGACGGACTAACTGAATACTGAGTGATGTGCGTTTTAACTACTTATTAAGTAATATAATAGAACTTTAAAAAAAAATATTGTCGACATTATTAACAATAAGATAATATATATAGTCGGTCAATCTCCGTAATCGAGTTTCATAATCTAATGTCAATTCTATAATAAACCAGGTCTTCAGATTTTGACTTAGCTTGATTTGTTCGACAAATTGTTTGTAATATATATTTATACATAAATAAAACTTAATGTGTAATGCCGCTTAGTAGATTGTTCTGAACTTCATTCCAGAACACTTTAATACTTTTATTTTGTTTGTTATTTCATACGACTAATTTAGGAAACCCTGAGATGATGGTGTTCCTGCGGATGTCAAATTAGATGCTGAAAAAAAGTTCTGTTTTACATAATGATCAAGAGGAGGATAGAGATGTAATGTCTCTTAACAAAGAAATTTTTCAAGTTAAAAATGATTCATCTAAAGTATTTTTAAATTATGAGTCCGAAAAATGTGTATCAAGTTTTGTAAACAATATGAAATTTCGGAAATTGTTTAGTTTTGTTATTTGTTTTTAATCTTTACAAGTAACGTAATTCACTCAATATTCTAAACTCTGTTAATAAAATGTTTGAAGGTTCGTAATTTGAAAATGTTTTATATTTTACAAATAAAAAGAACTTTCTTGTTTTTAGAAATTATATTGTGACTTATGCCCCTGTCAAATATCATGTAAAAAATCACCAATCAGAATATTGCTGTCCATAACCTTGTTCCTGTGCTGAACAAATGACAGCCTTGAGTCAGCTCTTAATCCTCGATATAGTATCTTTTCATCTAGCTCTTCCCGTTGATTTCAGAGCACAATATGAGTCTCTACCGTATGAACTACTTATTTCAGACATATGCAGTTTATATACAAGCAGGCAAGACTGCATCACATCATAAAATGAAGAATAACAGTTGTACAAGATCAAACCAAAAGTGGCTGTGAGTGTGGGAGACTGTAACTAATAGATTAGGAATAACTTAAGAATAGAAAATCATATAATAGTAGCTAATGGGTCAAATAGAAAGCTTATGATAAAATAAATACGAATAAATCTATTTTTATCATGATTATGGCATGATTTTCTTAATGATCATGAGTTCTGACCTGAGACTTTCGAAGCACACAATATTCATCTCGATCATTAGACAACGAATCAAAGAGTCAATACCGTGGTGTTTCCTGACTCAGTTTGATGCAGAAATGTTAATGAAAATTATTTGTAATGGGAAATTAAGATAAAATAGCTATTTAATATTTTTGGCTTTTAAAAGTTTACTAATTGATGTAAGTTTATGCCATAAGCGTCTTCATATTTATTTTAATGAACTGGCCATTAATTAATTGTTAGTATTATGATGTCTAGTCTTTAATGATGACAAAATTCTGTGAACCAAGGTGGTGTGCTAGAGAACTATGTATTTCTGTTTGATGGAGAAGTTTTTTTCTCGTTAGATGATTGTCAGTAACTGATGAAATAATCTAACTCCAGCCAGCATAAATTGTCAGAAACATTTAATAATTACTATGGTTTCCGTGGGGTTTGAAGCTACACTACCCAGTCTTTTAGAGAAACTAATCTCCATTAATGTTTAAACAAAAATGAGGGAAAACGTAGTGTTTCCTATTATCATTGTTATTGCTTTCAGTGTTATTAATTTTATTATAGAGGAAACATACATCTAAATTCTAATCGACTGAACAACCCTAGCTCATATTATGTATCAAAAATTATAACAACTCCCATGCTCTGAATCATTTTTGTATCAATGGAAAAGATATGATATTTAACTGAAACCATAAGTACATAACAATAGTATGTTTGTCAATAATCCATTAGTTTTCAGATAGTTGAGTTGATACAAAAACTAAATGATTACTTAAATATAAGAGTGAACGTATCTGACATCACTTTATATCCTTAATTATTTAAAAAATTATCTTAACTACTGATCTAATCTAATTAAACGATGACAGTTATAAACGTTCATACATTAATCCTAATAAAATATCAACTCAATTCTACTTTAGAAAGTTTAAATGTAAATCAACTCTAAGATAAACAATTAAACGTATTTCATATGAATGAATTCAATGAAAATTATTTACAATTTATTTTAACTGAACATTAGCAATTAATAATGGAATGTCAAAACTTTTAAATATTATAAACATGCCTTAAGATCAATTTGCTCATATATATATATATATATATATATATATATATATATATATATATATCAATTGTATGATGTTTTAGGAAAATACATTTCATTCATCAGAATCACGAAACTAATCCGTCATATTCTTAATTTATCTAATTGACATAAATCTAAGTGAACAGATTCTATAGTGAATATCATTGTTATTTACACAAACTAGTAAGAACACACATGTGAACATAAACGAAAAATACAAGCTATGACTGATCAAATTTCAATTATCAACAACTCATGTTTAAATGAATATATTTAATTAATACAAATGAATTTAATTAGCTTTTTGTTAATTTTTTTTATAAAAAAATCAGTGAATTTATTGTTCACTTGTCAGAGAATAATCGTCGTAATTATCCACTACTTAGGTTAACTTTTAAAATGAATGTTGATTAGCATATATATATATATATATATATATATATATATATATATATATATATATATATATATGACCGTTTATCACTAACTCGATGTTAATTGCCTCTCGTACACACGACGACTATGAAAAAAGTTAAATGGTTATAATCTCCAAAACATAAACAATCATTGACAATAAATTATCGGGATTCTCAGTATATGTTACATGGTAGATAAATGAGGGTTATAATAATTATTCATTTACCGATAATTTTCATATTCTTTTGACATTTTTATCGTTAATTTGTTCGTTTTATTTATTTATTTATTTTTTTTAGCCTTACGGTAATGAAGAACGAACTATTTATTATTGACCAATCAGCTTAGCCAAATGTGTTTGTCTATCTATCTCACAATAATCTAGTTAAATTAGATAAAATTAATTACTATGTGGATTATGAAAAAGATTTAGATTAATAAAAATTATACTGATAAATTATAAATAAAATCTATACAAGTATGTAAGGAACAAATTTTTATCAATATAATTTTACTGTAAAATGAAATAACAATGATACTTCATTTACATGTGTTCATATCGTATTGTTATAATATAATGAATTACATTACGATTATTTCTAATGGTTCGCTGCGTAATTAATACATTAATATGCAGATACTTTGGGGGAAACATTAAATTACAGAACAAAGTAAGTAATTATCAGTTTAGTCGCGATAAAATAATAATTTTCTTTATTCAGTATTGACATTTTTCTATATTGAATAGATTCAGATAAAATTTATTGAATTTTTGATAATATGTTAATTGTTGGACAAGAAATTTATGCAGATCTTTTAGTGTTGGCGAGTTTTTATGATAGAAACAGAATTTCTTTAATGATACTATAAGTGAACTTATACACTTAAATTTAAAGAATCTAGTAGTTTTAAAACTAGTTTTATTTTCTTAATAGCACTTTACTCATTATCGATGCAGAAATCAATATATGTTCTTGATAATTTTCACAAAAACAAAAGCCTATGTGGCGAGACTATGGTTTATGGACGACCTTTGAGTGACATTGAAGTGACCTTGAGTGTCCACATGATAACTAGGACCGAATGATGATTGTAAACCAGTGTGAGGAAATAGAATTATGATTTACAATTGACGGTTAGGGTTACAAATTAGATTTAGGGTTTTCATCACGAACTGACATCAGCCATAACGCCAAAACTCTATTAATGCAAATAGATTAATGAATTTCGCGCCTAAAATTCGAGAACTGTAATCTTATACCTGATTGGTTCGTTCACAAATTATAGTCTCGTGGCTTACGTTTGCTGAAAAACATTATTGTTATATATACATTTCATCTGATGTTATATTCTAGCGTTTGGTTTAAAATAAACCTATATTAAAATATATTTCGAGCATAATACTTGATTGTTATTTGATAATTATGATTTCCACTTTACTAATACTAGTTCAGTTTTAATTTACTCATCCATAGAATTTAAAATTATGTATTCTTCGTGTAAAGACCTTTTATTCATGATTAAAATTTGTTAACAGATGTAACTACTGACAAAATACAATTTGTATCATTCATTTTACACTGTTTAAATGAACAAGAATAACAATGTATTTATACCTAAACATGGTTGATTACAGTTATTTGTAAATTATTTTGTCATTTGAACTTATGTAATATATTTTACTTAAACGTAGTTACTTGGTTTTCCTCTTGTTTATAAACGTAAATAACACCATAAACAGTAGTATAAATGAGGTTAACCCCTATTTACTAACATATTTTAAATAAACCTTGAATAAATAAACCTCTGAACTAACTAATTGACAGCTCATTGCATGGTTTAGAAACGTGAATGTAAAAATGTATCGAAATTGATGTGCTATAACTAATAAAAATAAGCAATTTAACAAATAATGTTTCATTCATTCACTAGCACCGAAATATGGAAACAGAATACTCTGTTGGTGTAACTATACTTTTTGAATGTAAACTGAAATATTTCTTAAGTAGGGATGAAAAGTGGTTACCAGTGGAATCTAGAACGCGCGTTTCGTCCCATTTAGGACTCGCCGGTTGCTTGCACCTGTATCCCAAAGTTGATGTTTATGGCAATATCAAGGATGTACATGAGCCAATAACAGACTGATTACTTGCAATCCTATGCATCAATGGAGAAGATTCAAACAACAAATACCAAAATGAATTGAAATATTTATCATTTAAAAAAACGTTTTAGTGGATTTTAGTAGTTTTGATAAATAACATTTATTCGTGTAACAAAGAAATTACATTTTAACTATTCATAATTAAGAAATAAAAGTTCTATCAATGTGAATAATTTATATAGTAGACCTGACTCATAATTGTTAAAGAAAAGTTGATTGACAAGTAATATCTATACAAAATTAATATTTTTTTATTTTGTAAATAAAGCAAACAATAAATAAAACGCGAGAAAAAAACTCCGTTGATTGATTTCCGTCATTCAATTTTCTTTAGATTCAAACTAAAGTTTAAACATTTTAGCCAAAGTCAAATAATTAAATTTTATACTTAAAAAAATAATGGTAAGAAGTTTGAAATAATCCATTTATAAATTTTCTAATGAAATCAGAGAAGTATTGCATATTCCAGATTTATTTTTGATTTATATTATTGGACAAATTTCAATGAGTTAGTCAATACATATCAGTATACTTATTTATACATGAATGATCTTATTCGTATATCTGTTAAAACATAATAAGCAGCTACATATATTTGTATATTGTGGAACTAATTGTCTGATAGGGTACTATTAAATTAAAAAGTTTCCCCGATTTTATTTAAACATAAAATCAATCAAACGATTTAGTGATATAAAGATATAAATAGTGGCAATGGTTTTTTTCAAAATGAATTATTGTTTAGAATGTTTAAGGAATGAGAGCATATTGTTAGTGGAATTATTAACATAGGAAGATATTTTGATTACTATAATTTAAAAATAAGTTGCGAAACCAATTATTTCTGATGGAATATATATATATATATATATATATTAGTTGTCAAAACATATCATCAGTAAAAACCAGTTTATTTGACTTACAGAAACTGGCAATATTCAAGATTGAATCCTTGACAATTAGAAATTCAATAGTTTTCATGATACATTAATAACCTCATTCATCTGTATTCATGGTTTCATCGTTTCTTTTTTACTTTTATTAATATAAAAAAACATTAGAAAAAACCTTTAGCACATACAGATAATTAAAAGGGTTAACCTTAATTGTAACTAAATTAAATTCTTAAATTTTTCCTATTTTTCTAATCGATTATACAGATACTGAAGTCTCTATGACTTAGACAATAGATTGAATTTTTCGATGTTATTTGAAGTGAATATAAAAAACGATAATATTTAAAATAACAGTTTTAATTAGTAATAAATATTATATCACATGTGATTTCTCAGTTTGGAAAAAAATAATTTTTTTTAAAAACAAAAACTTGTTTTACTAAATTATAATTTCTGACCGATGTATTATATTATAATAAGTCAACTGATTACTAAAATAAACTAATTCTTCAGTAAATATGAGTAATGTAGAAGAATAATACAATGCTGAAATGTTTGAATGATAGAAATTAAAATTAAAATTATAATATTTAATAGTTGATTTCATGAGTCAATTGAAGAAAGACCACCATGAAAAAACGGGAAACACTGGACGGTCGTTTTATCCTAGTGCGGAACACCTCATCAGCGAGCACCTGCGACTCCGCCCTGCGAGATTCGAACTCAAGACCTATCGATCTCGCTCGCAAACGCCTAATCTTTACACTACTAGAGCCGGTATTCAAAACTAATCCACGAAATCGAGCCACCATTCATCATTGTCTTCAGTGAGTTAATATCTCACAATAGATCCACATGAATTCCACTAGTCACTGTTTCTCACATTTGTATTAAACGTGGCTTTGATATGACTATATTCAACAGTCAGTTTTCATTAGTAAGGCGCTTCGTCATACATATGGTTTCTCAAATAAATTTACTTCTATCTTATTTGGTGGAAATAATGTTTACATAGTGAACGATTCCTTTCTAAAGAAAAAGTTAGTTGAGATAAAGTGTATTTATTAATCCAGTTTTTAGGAATTATCGTAATGTAGGTACTTTTCTAATTTAAAATCAAAACACATTTGTACTATAGGTGGTGATACAAAATATATGAGACAGATAAATTCACATGGTATTGTTTAATAAATTTTCCCATTGATGTTTGGAACTGTAATTGATCAGTGTCTTATTGGCATATTTTTATGCTGTGCTTATTTCCTTAATTTACAAGCATTATAATCAGTGATGGATAGTGGCTGGCAGTGGAATTTAGGGCGCACAACTAAGTGACTATCAGGACTCAGTGGATAAAGCGATGGTGTTTGAAGCGAACGGTAATGGGTCGGAGTCCCGGAGTGAACATCAACTGTGCGATGCAGGTACATACAGATGACGAGTCCCAAATGGAAAAAAAAACGCGTCCTGGATTCCACTGCTAGCCACTATCCAACTTTATTTACGAGGCAGATATTTCTGAAATTCATCATTAAAAATTAAATATTCTGCAAGTGAACACGATACGTGAAAAACCCCTGAAAATTCATTATGTAACCGTAAGCATTATTTCACTTATTTTATCAGATAAGAAAAATGATATGTTACTAAACTCTGTAATATTAACCTGTCCAAATACCACATTAATCTAAATCTCTTTAGATTTACCCATTTTCTATTTTTTTATACATTCAATAATAAATGAAAATGTCATGTTATCTTTAGCGGTAAAAATTAAAATGTTTCATCTATAGAATCAAATCGGAAGGACTGTTTAAAATATGGCAATTCCCAGACGATAAGCAAAAACTATATTCACTATAAGATAGACAAAAAGATAATTATAATGTTAATAAAATTAGATATTTGGTAGAAACAAAGTAGGTATCATATATGTGGGGATGAAGAAATGTTTGTTGGTACAGTATTTGCTTAACAGCAGATTTAGTTTCCATAAAAAATACCAAGCTACGTAGTAGTTTTACATATCTAATACTAAAATAAATTACATACATATAGATCCCGTTATCATTTTGAATTACATTGTTTAGCGTCATGTTATCAAACCTAATGACTACATCATGTTTTATAATTATCGCTTGTATCACAGTGATGAATCTATCTGGTCAAAGAAAGCGACGTTTATATGTAGTATAAAATTCAAACAGTGATCTTATTTTCAGTCACAAAATGAAGTAATAAGCGGAAAATGTCGTTAGACATTACTTACAATACTTTAGATTATTGACAAAAAGTTCATTGTATCCGTGTATTGTGTGCGTGAAATAAGAGAAATGCATTATTTGTTGTCAGCATTATTCAATTAGGACTAGCTGACTTTTTTTTCATTAAATCTACTTACGCGTATAAAGGGATAGCTTATATTCCTGTGTCGCAAAGGTATTTAGACATAAATAAATGTTGTTGTCATAATGTTAAATACTTCTAGGTTTTGTCGACAAATTAATGGTTCTACAAAAACATAACATATAAGTTATGTGAATACTTTAAAAAATATGTTATCATTAAAGGTCCAGATGTTAATTAATATGAACTGAGTAAACTGTATTTT